AAAAAAAAAAAGTTTTGTAGCTAATCTTTCTCTTTCAATACTCAGAACTTGGGCAAAAGGTAAATCACAACATTTTGGCCAATTGGATAGTCCACTCTGGGCAACACACTTCTTCCCCACCCTTCCTGAACTGAGTCAACAAAAATCAGTTGCTCTTCATGGGAGAGACTTTAATTTCTTTGCACCTGTGACACCAGTACAGGTACTCACTATGTTACAGGTCAAATACTGGCTGGAAATAGTTATTTCTTTGAAAACTGAGAGAGGAAAAGTAAGAAATGTATGTATTTCACGTCAATCACAGCTTTCCATTTTGAAAGAATTTATGGATATTTTGCCACATGCACACTGTGGATACAGAAGAGGTATTTTCACTCATTTTAGAGTGTATTCTTTAATAATTATGGAATAATGCATTTTCTGAAATCAAAACATGGAGGTTACATTGATTTGTGACTGCTAAAAGTCAGCACTCTTTGTAGATAATATAACAACCTAAAAGATCTTTTGATTTCTGCAAAGAATAATCAAGGATTATTGTTTTAATACATAGTTCTTGTTTTGTCTTCAAATATTATTGCAGACAAATTTAAAAAAAAAAAAATTAACAATTAAAAAGGCCAAAAATCAAGGTAATTCATAGTACTCCTGAAAATACCTCATATCCGTAAGCCAGACGTTTGATGCTTTGAATGAGCTATTATCTTATTTGTGAAAAGTCCTACAGTGTTTCTGTTTAGCATTTAGTTAATTTCATACATTAAAGATTTTATTTAAACTTCACTCGAAGTATTAGGAGAAGACATTTATCTAAAAACCCAGGAATGTGGTTTAAAGGAATGCAGTCAATATAGTTCAGAAGATAACTCATTTTGTTGTTTTGTCAACAAGGCAGGTTGTTGAGAGGTTTTTCTGAGTCCCAGAGCATAGGATGTTATACCTCAAAGTGATAAAAATCTACTAAATTACTATGAAACTGCAAACCGTGTTTTGGGTTTGGTGAAATATCATTATTGAGCTTTGAGTTGTTTGTGCCTTAAATAGGGGTATTACATGCAACATGGCAAATTCTCTCCTTTTACTGATTTACAGAGATAATTTTCAACTGTTGATTCACTTAGGAAAGGCTGGTATTCAGACTGTCTGCAGAGGAGAGATTGCACTGTATACTTTACCTTGAGGGCAAGAACAGTGAACTCCATTTGTTAAACAAAGAGATGCACTAATTTGTTGGAATGAGATAAGTCGTAAATTCAAATATTTGCTGAATATTTTGTAATTAGTTGTGAGGACAGAGCCTCAATAAACTAAAGCCTACTTCAGTAAACTAAAATAAATGCTGAAACTATTGTTTGAACGGGAACTTATTTACAGTGACATTAAAGGAAACACAGCAAAAATGTAATATATTTCACAATAAACCCCTGGCCTGTGAAATACTTTGTACTTTTTTAAGCAATCAGGAGGAAGCCTGACTGTCAGAAAAATCCTAGAAACATAATGGAAAGTGTATTTGCTTTGGAAAAATGTACTCTGTCTTGTCTTCTGTGACTTCCAGGATTAGGCCTTACTGATATTAATTCTGGATGATTGAAGTAGAAAAGTGAATTTTACATTTATTTTACAGTACATCTGTGCTCCATGATGGTGCACAAATCTGTTTACAGGGAGAGAAGCACAGGCCTATGTCTGAAACATTGACAGCACTAGCCTATTAAAAGTAAATATAAGTATTTAGGGTCACTGAAGGAAATCGAATCTCAGGATGATCTACATTTGAACCATCAAGAGGAAAAAAATTATCCTCTTTAATTTTTTTTTTTTTACTCTGTAGGCTTTTTCTTTCTCCAGCATAAAAAATAAAGCCAGAAGATTTTTTTCCCTTTCTTCTCACGAATTATGAGACGAACTCAGAATCTGGCTTACTCTTAAAAGCTGTACATTAAGCAATGGATTCCTATCATGTGATTGAGTTATGGCAGCTATTATGGTTGACCCATATCCCCCATACAGACCACAAATACAGTCACATTTTTCACTAGCAACTCTGTGTATGAATTTCACATAAGCTTGTTACTGATTGTAGTTTCTTTTGGGCTTCACTGACAACCACACAGTGCCATCTGATGTCCTCAAAGAGCAATAAGCTGTTCGTAAAATCTGTTAAACCATATAAAGCCCAAAATCTTAATTTTAAGGCTTGATCGTGACAGAACATTGCCTCCCAAGCCTACCTGGAAAATAATCTCTATATAATTTGCTTCTATTTTCATCAAGATAATCCTAATGTCATGTATGAAATTATAGGCTCTGAGCTAATCATTACTGCTCATGATGGAATGATGTTGATAATGAAAGCTCAGTCTTGAAGAAAATAATTTGAATAATCAAGTTGAGGAAATAGAGGTAGTGAATAAAATACTATTGCAAAAAATAGATTATTTTGTTGGAACATCAGCAAGCTTATAAAATAACCTACTTACTTTTGGACAAGTCTAAACTGTGCAAGAAACAAAATTGCTGGGGGAACCAATAGAACACAGGCTTTGATCCCTTCATCAGTGCACCATTGCAAATAATAGAAACAATCCTAAATCCTTTCCTCATGTTTTTGGCAGATCAACTAATAGGTTGATATTAATTCTCTCTCCCACACGTCAACATCCATATGCAAATTTGCTAAAACTGTATTTAAGGTTCCATAAGGGCATTGAATTGGTTTCTGACAAAGCAAGAATCAGTCCTTCACAGAACCATGAGCAGCCTCTTTCAAATGACAACACTTGAAAGTTTCAAGTTAAAAGAATAAAGCACCCCTCTATATTCCAAGACTGTTCTACCAATGTACACATGTGCACGTGAATATTTGTATCTTAATATAGATAAAACGCCCTGTTGGTCCAAAAGGGGTGAAATGCACACATTTGCCTCTCTGCCTAGTGCAGCACAGAGGATGCTGGCGGGAGCCGATGGCACTTTCTGCGGCCAGGGGTTATTTTGCAGGCGAGGCGGGTGCCGACAGAGGTGAAATACAGCCATCTACCGGCCTCTGGGTCACTTGGTGCGGGCAGACAGGCCTTCCAACGTCCAGAAACTCAGCCGTGCAGCATGAAATCTTGGCCCAATACATTTCAGTGCAAGTTTTACTTACACTCGTAGGTCATACATGATTCTGTTTGTCAGCGATTGGCATTTATTTTTAATGTGTTTTTAAAGCACGGACGTGAGGACTGCAGTACGTTGGTTATGCTACCTTAGCCAAGGTAAAATGCATTTGAATTTCACCACAGGATTTGAGACCACTGCATGATTTGCTGAGGATTAGCCACCTTTCTTGCTGTACTGCAATATGTTGGAACCTTACTGCAAAGTATTCCATATTGAAACACACATGAAAGGCACTTTAAAATTTAACTACAGAAAGTTTCTGTCTTTATGTCTGTGCTGATAGCTGTGTAATTTATACCAGACAGTGCTCTGTTCTGGTTCTTGCTTCAAAGTTTACTTTAAGGAGCTACACAATAAACATATATTTAGGACAAAACTAAAGTAATATGTATATTTATTGTATATATTTATTATACATATTTAGGACAAAGCTGCAGTAAACTATGCATACATGACATGTTTTCCCACACACACTGCAATTATGTGGATGTTTACTCGTTTATAAGGACTCAAACCCTGCAAAATTTCAACACAATAACTAAGTATTTCATAATTTAATAATCAAAAGTTAGGTCCTTACTATGTGTAGGGAACCAAATTTTCTTTCTCTGTGACCTCTTTGGTTCTTCCTCTTAGGACAGAAATTGTTCATCACTTCTTAGGCACTAAGAACACCAGAAGATGGTCCTTTATGGTCTTTTTTTGAAATAGGAAAACATTGTACCTCACTAAATAAAGAACTAAATTCTAAGTTCCCAGCATGACTATTTTCTATATTCTCTCAGCTGCATTATTTATAATCACAATTTTAATGTAGCCTAACCGGAAGTTTCATCAACAATTTTCAGAAGTACTTATTTTCTTCAACATGGTTACTTCTCACATTACTAAAACCCCCTCTCGTCATCACACACATAGTATTATCAATGTTGCACCAACGTTTTATTTTTCAGCATTCCTGCAAAGACACCAAATTTTCTTATTGTATCATTTGCAAGAGATAATTCAAACTCACTTGGAATATAAGTGTAGGTGTTAAGGGAGGCCTGGCTATTATTGCATCGAATTAGCGTGTAAGACTGATTCAGTCACAGTCCGTGTTCACGTCAGATAGGCAGTCGCTCTGAAGTACCTATACATGATTAGCCTTCTGTGGAGTTGTTTGGACACTCCAGTTCTTATTTCATGACTGGGAAAGCATTCCCCCTCATATATGGCAGAACTTCCTAGGTTGGTGACATTTGTCGCATGCCCACAGACTAGAAATTCAGTCCAGATCCAACCAGAAAGCCTACCTGTCAGAACTGAGACATGCACTCCCACAGAAAGCCTCATTTTTTTAATTATATATATATAAAAAATATAATAATATTTTTAGTAATCCTTCGTATTTAGGAAAGGGTTACATGAAGATTCCATAACCAGACGAGCTGAGATGCTCTGGACGTTATCACAACCCTGCAAGGCGTTTCTACTTTTAAGGTTATCCCCTCACACACCGCCTGCTGCTTGGGTAGTGACTTGGGCCAGCACCTCGGGGATGCGACAGCCCGGCATCCTCCCACCACTGGGCCTGGGCCAGGGTACAACCCGAACCAAAGCCGAACACCCGACTGTGCATGTCCTAGGCTGCACTGCCGTCCAGCTTTCTCAGCCGGGCTGCCGCTTCCGAGCAGCACTCCCACCACTCCGATCGCTTGGGCCGGCGAGCCCAGTACTTATAGCCTTTATCCCGCCCCACCCGCCTGCGCAGGCCCCCGGCCCCTCCCCGGCGCTCGGTTGGGCGGCCTCGGCCGGGGCGGTGCCCGCCCTGCCGCCCGCCCGCCACCACCATGAGCTGCGCCGCGCTGCTGGGGCCGCGGGGGTCGCGGCTCCTGGGGGCCGCCGCCCGCCCGTCCCGCTGGAGCCGCCGCCGGCGCAGCGCGGGCTGCGAGCCCCCGGCGGGCGCCGCCGTGCGCATCGGCTGCGCCTCGGGCTTCTGGGGCGACACGGCGGCCGCAGGTGGGGCGGCGGGGCCGCCGGCGGCAGCGGCTGCCCGGGGGGCTGCGGGAAGATCCGGCGGGAGCGGTGGCCGGGGCTCGGGGGGCTGGTGGGGCGGTGGGGCCGTGGTGCGGGCGGCGGTGGCTGCGGGCGGCACAAACAGCCCCGTTGCGTAAGCGCCGGGCCGGGCGGGGCGCGCCGGGGGTGCCGCGGCGCTGACGGCCCCGCTCTGCCTTGCCCCGCCAGTGCCGCAGCTGCTGTACGGAGGGAAGCTGGATTTCCTCGTCTTCGATTACCTGTCCGAGATCACCATGTCGCTGCTGACGGCCGCCAAGGCCCGGTCTCCCGTAAGTAGAGGCGGTGCCCGGTCCCAGCGTGCCGGGCTTGGCTGGGGCGGGCGCGCTGCGATGCTTCTCGACCTCCCGAGCTCTCCCTCCAGCCCAACTCTGCTTAAGACATGTCTGGTTAGGGTGATACGATTCCTTTCGTATACTTCTTACTTGCATGTATATATTTGTTATTCTATCATTGTTATTATTATTATTGTTATAATTATTTGTTGTTATTCAGTTTCATATAGTAAAAGTCATTTTATGACATGAGTCAACGCTCGTATTATCCGAGCATTTTGAGAGGTGGTTGTTCTTCCCCTGTTAAGCAGGGGGAAGGGATTGGGTTGGCCTACCCCTGAGAGATGGTTACAGTTCTTATTTGTTTCAGGTTTTAGGTTACACTCCCGATTTTGTCACCACTGCCATGGCTCCATATATAAAAGATATTCACAGGAAAGGTATGCTATTCTTTGCATGAGTTTGTATGCTAATTAACTTCACCTGCTTATGAAGACAGGTTGAGAGGGTTGGGGCTGTTCAACCTGGGGAAGAGAAGGCTCTGGGAAGACCTTATAGCGACCTTCCAGTACCTAAAGGGGGCCACAGGAGAGTTGGACAGGGAGTTTTCTCCCTGTAGCGGTAGAACAAAGAGGGATGGCCTTAAGCTGAAGAAAGGGTAGATTTAGATTAGATATTAGGAAGAAATTCTTTACAGTGTGGAGAGACACTGGAACAGGTTGCCCAGAGAAGTCATGGATGCCCCATCCCTGGAAGTGTTGAAGGCCAGGTTGGATGGGGCTCTGAGCAACCCGGTCTAGTGGAAGGTGTCCCTGCCTGTGGCAGAGGGGCTGAAACTAGATGATCTTTAAGGTCCCTTCCAACCCAAACTATTCTAGAATAACTGTGAAAAATGACATGGTAATAGGTTTGAGTTAGAGGTCTGATGGTGAAGTTTAAATTGGGCTAACTTAAAATGTTTGCTATCATTATAAATATATACGTATATTTCTGTGAATTTCTTACTGGGGCTTTAATTTGTGAATTGAAGATTGCTTTACGGATCTTTGCTAAAGCATGAGATCTAGATGTTTTCAGTGTAATTTAAAAGTTTTTTTAACATTCCCATATAGTTCTACAATACCACTTTCTGAGCACTTTTTTTCTTGATTACATTAGTACAGCTTCATGGCTTTCTGAGCTTGAGAGGAGAAAGGGAATTACTTCTGAGAACCTAATGCCTTGCAAACAGTACAGAATGTATAGTTAGATGCACATTTCTACTAAAATGCAGTTGTTTGGGGAACATGGATGTTTGAATGACTGGTATGCAGTACTGTTCCTCCTGTAGCAGATTTTTGATGCTGTCTGTCTGCTTCAGTATATGTCTTTTTGGTCATTTTACTCCTTCCATGCATAAAGGAAAGATGAGAAAAACCTATAATAATTATTTTTCTGTAAACAATTTTGTATTGGCTTTTTGTGATCCTTTGACAGGTTCAATGGAATGGGGTTCATATTTTAATGTGATATTAGTATTTTACTTGATTAGGTATCTACCACCTTACAAGATGATACCTTGCTTATGTTTCAGCACACTTAAGGTTTTTAAAATATAGGTGACTATTCATGCTGCCTTTTGAATTTACCTTTTTTTTTCTTTTTTTATATTAGGTGTTCGTGTCATCAGTAATGCTGGTGGAATTAATCCACTTGCTTGTGCAGCTGCCCTTCAGGAGGTGGCAAAGAAAGCAGATGTTGATTTGAAAATAGCTGTTGTTGCTGGAGATGATCTAATGAGTGAGGTATTCTGCTTTATCTTAAGCCTTAGTAGCATTAGTCTACATAGCATGGGAACTTATTTTGTGTATCTTTATTGCAGCAGTCTTCTACTATTAAAAGCATCTAGAAGTTGTTTCTTAGTTTTCTTTTTTTTAATGCATGAAAACAATTCTTGGCACATCTTATGGTTGGTATGGGATGGGGGTGGATCTGCTTGTGGATCTGCTATTTAGATTTTGGAAGCAAACTGTGAATATGATGTAAGGTCTGCCTGGATCTTCAGGAGAAGCTAGTGTGTGCTGTTACTTATTGCTTCTATCTAAACTAACTAATCCTGCATGTTAAATCTTGTAAATATGGTGTAGTTACTGTGCATTCAAATGTTTATCCCTTCTAGCTTCTTTTTAGTAATTTACATGGATTTCCTGATGTTCCTTTGTTTACAGGTAGCTGGTTTTCTGTTTTTAAATAACTAGTTTACAGCTATTAAGATAATGTTAAATGGGAAGATTGAAGTTTAAATAATTTAAAAAATAGAATTGAAAGATTAAACATATGGTATTTTTTGACTTAAAGGAGTTATACTTTATCTATGAAGTCTCCAAAAAAATGTTGGTCTTTCCTGAAAAGGTACTGGGAAAATGGTTTATACATCAGTAGTGGTTAAGAGGGGAGAGGTTTGCACTGTGGTTAAATCTTTGCCTATAACTTGGAAAATTATTTATCTGCTTAGGATCTGTTACTCCTTTCATGCTATTGAATGTGGAAGATGGTCAAGTAAGGTTCTTTATTTGCAAATTATGTGCAGTGCTTGGACTTCCTTTTAAGAAACTACTGAAATTACTGTCTGCTGTCCAGAATTTCATTACTGGTGCAACAATGAAGTCATTATTTGAGCTTGTTATGAACATGTCTGATCTGAAATGCATTATTTTCTATGCTGTTGTCAGTACATAGCTTACAGGAACAGAAAAGAGACAACTTTTACTGACTACAGGCAACTTTTAGTGTTGATACTAAATATGATAAATTATACTAGGGAATGTTATTTGTGGTTTGGAGGGTTTCAGTCATTAACATAGAACACCAAATTAATTCAGAGTGGAAGGTGTATTTTTGACACTCGAGATGCCACCTGTAAACCAGTATTAGACATTGTGTCTGTGCAGTCGTTATTCCCTTGATCCATTGGACTGCCAAGCTGCCTAATGCACGGTCAAAAACACCCCCCCACACACCTACTTCTCTGGAAACACAGCCTATTCTAAGTATCACGAGAAGCTGCAGGATCAGCCTTGTTCTCTGACCATGCCATATTGCAGTTGTGGCTGACACATTTCTGTTTGCAGGATTTGATTTATTAAATCTTACAGCAATTAAAGACAGTTTAAAAGCCTAGAGAATAATGCCAGTTCATTGTAGTTGACCATTTGTGAATGAACTAGCATACTTCAAAGGCTGACTTAGTTTTCTGCATGCTAGAAAAGTTATGGTTAAAAGTGTGCCTAAGGCTTTTAACCATTTAACTGATTTGTGTTGTTGGTGATTTGAATAATTATACTTTGCTTGGGGTTGCTGTGGAGTGGATCTGTTGTTTGATACTAATAAAAGGCTTACAGTAGAAACTTCAAAATACTCACAGATTTGGTGTTCTGTTTGTTTTCTAACAGAAAGAGAACTTAAAAGGAGCTGGTATCACCGATTTAGAGAGTGGCAAACCATTTCCAGAGAACATTCACAGCATGAACGTATATCTTGGGTGAGTTATTTTAGCAGGTTTTACTTATTATGGACAAATAATTTTAGCACATTGAGTACATGAATTTGTGTATGAGGTTCACCTTTGAATTATTCAAGCAATCAGAAAAAAAATTATAACTTGTAAATAAATTTTAACTTTTAACCTTGCAAGTTACAGCCCTTTAGCACTACATCATCTGTGAATGCTCAGGTTTTAGTTCAAGCCAAAACAGCTTTAGTTGAATTATAGCAATCACAGAAATGCTTTTTCACATGCTGTGGATTCTGTTGCAGCATGGAGTATGTTACGATATTATCACTAGAGAAGTGCAACTGAGAGTTTCGAGTACTGGGACATACTCAGAGTGCTGTAGGATGTTCCATTAGTGTGTGTCAGGCTGTGTACTGTTGAAGTTTTGGAAACTGGCTTTTCAGGATGGTCACTGTTTTGAAAGATCTCCCTTGGCTCCTTCATGATGCTAAAGGCTTTCCATATATCTCTAAAAGCACGGTGCTCTTGAAGTTGGTCGATATTGCAAGTTCTAGAAATGCTTAGATAAACCGACCTGAAAGGTTTAAAATTGGAGGGCAAAGTCACGAAGCTTTCTCTGTGATGAATATTCATCCTTATACTCTCATCTACAAATGAAATGAGTAATGAATCTCTGAAAAACACTGTTTTCTGTAATTGATAATAGAAGTGTCCCTCTATGCACTTTTTTCAAGACAGTTTCTATGAGCATCAAGACAAGTGTATCAGTTATGTTATTTGGGTACCTGAATTTGATAGTATTTTCATGACTGCTCTTCAAAATAGTCTTGTTGTATGTACACAATGACAAATTAAGTTATTAAAGTTACTTAAAAATCCCTTAGGAAGCCACTAAAATTGATTTTTAACCTCTGTGTGGCAGGAAATGCTTTAAAATGTGAAAGTACTTACTATTGTGTTTTGTTATCTTTAGTGCAAGACCAATTAGCAGGGCTCTAGACCTTGGAGCTGATATTGTTGTGACGGGTAGATGTGTTGACAGTGGGATTGTATTAGGACCACTCATTCATTCTGTAAGTACATGTTAATTTCCATATGATAATTAATATAGGTGAATGAATATTCAGCTGTCATTGTCAGTCAATTTTTGTTCCTTGGGAAAATGTAGATACTAAATTAAAAGTAATGAGCGTGTGTATTTTTTTCTTAGGTGCATGAAAAGATGCCAACTTTCACTTCTCCTAAATTTATAGCAGGGATATTTGTTAACTTGTATACCATAAGGCTGGAAAACATTTCAGTTAAGGAAGTCTTATCCTTTTTCAACATTATTTCACTCTTCCCGCTCCCCCACAATCCTTCTTAAACATTTAATGTGCAAGATTAAGAAAAAAGTATATTTTTCTTTACCACAAGGTGTCGATATTAGAGCTCATTTTGGGTTGGAGGGGAGCACATGAGAGGTCTAAAACACTGGTTTTGTTTTAAGTAGTGAAGTGTCAATGCAGCATATGTTGAACTTGAAATTCAACAGATTATACCAGCAGGATGTGTAGTTTTTTGAAGTATTTTAAATTGGTTTTCATGAATTTTTGTGAATGATCACACACTGTGAAATATGGAAGCTTTCTTTTGGTGCATATTTAAAAAAAAATATGAGGCTATGTGTTAGTGTCTGGTTACAGATATGCTTTCTAAAACATCATACTCTTCATGCATGTCAAACCTTGCCAAATCTGGATTTAAATTTTCCCATTTACTATTGCCATTATGACTTGTTATTTTATTTATAACCGTTTACATTCTGAAAACTAACAGCTGTCAGTGTGTATTATCTACTCCAGAGAGATCTTACCTAATTTATTGAAAAGTTTTGGGAAGATTTCTGCAAAGGGCTAAATGAGAAACTTTCTATATTACTTGCACTGGGTTGAACTTTGGGAAAACATTTTAGTTAAAATTTCTAGTTAAACAGAAAGCATACTTCTAGTTTTTAAGGATGACTTGTAGTACTCCAGGAACTGATAATTTTCAAAAATTGAAAAGAACATAGGGATTTGTTTCTGTGACACAAGATAGGTGCTAGATCTTTAAACCTCTGGGTTGTGCAGGTTTTGAAAAATATGGATGTTGCACTTCCAAGTTTTTTAAGAGGGTATGACTTTTAAGAGTTTGTATTTTCTTGGGTGTATCAGTAAGAGGAAATACAACAGACCTTTTTTGATAATACGCTGTATAGGAACTCAAATCCATGTACGTTGCCTGCCAGTTATTATTTAGATTTCTGCAGTTAAGTAAAAATAAATCCAATACATTGTTACTCAAAGCAGCGAATGAGCTATGTGCAGTTTTCTGTGCTCTGTGAAACTTATATAAAAATACTTGTATTTTTCTTCTAGTTTGGCTGGAATAGAGATGAATACGACTTGCTAGCTGCAGGAAGGTAAATGATATAAGAAGAAATTGGGTAAATTTGTATTTCATATCTCAGTGTCAAGATACCGAATTTTCAGCACTTAGTGATGTTTTGTATTACCATTGAATAATTTAATGTTTTTGTTAGGGTTTGGGTTCTTTTTTAAGACTCAGTATTCTCACTTAGAATTGAAATTATAGAAATTTCATTCTGCAACCAGCTTGAAGTACCAAAATGAGGAAAGGGCTGAATGATTTTATTTAACAGCTTAACTTCCTGTTCATTTGGTGTCGAGATGGAATCTTACAGTACAGACCTGTGATTCCCAGCTTTTTCTGTTGGGCAATCACTTGATAACTGGGGTGGTGTCAGGTCTTATTCTGAAAGATACACGAAAGGAGATTCAGTCAAAGGACACCATCACTCTGTGGTTTTGCAGAAGCTCAGTGTCAGTACTCCTATTTACAAACCCTAGTTGTAGTCGTAGGGTAAGGAATCTGATGCAGAAAGCACGGGATTAAATTCTGTCATCTAATTTAGCATTCTTCATCATCTATCTGAGTTGAAGTCCATAAAAAAATAGCTACCTAGATAGTCTGAGAATACCAGTATTAGTGTGCTAAAACCTCCTTGAGAATAATAAATGTGGAGAGAAATTTGGCTCCACAGAGAGATGAAGCTTTCCCCCATAATTCTGTTGAGTATTTATGGCCTGTTGCAATCAAAATTTGAAAATAGTAATACATAACCATGATACATTCTGTGCTTCACATTGGAAGTGAGATGTCTTATCTGTTGATTTAAAAACGGGCTTTACATATTTAGTTACACATAGTGCAGACTACTTAAGATACTGAATATAGATCAAGACTTGAAATGAGCAGGGAAACTTTTTTTTAGGTGTTAGATAATCTTTTAGGTTATTTTTTGCAGGAAAATTCTTCATGTAAAGGTTAGTCCTTTCAATTACTTATATTCATCTTTCAAAGTCCCTTGTTATGGTTAATGTTTAATTTATGGTGGTATTAGATGTTATGGAGGGAAAAGTAGCATGTTCTGTTATTTAGCTTTATTTCCCTTGTGCCATTATATTTTAAAGCTGGATTAGTGAAACTTGATTTTACAGAATATTTAGTTATTTGAATGCCATTTTCCCAGTCTTGCAGGTCATCTCATTGAATGTGGTGCTCAGTGTACAGGTGGAATATTCACTGATTGGCACACAGTACCAGACTGGTAGGTATTCTTGACATCAGTATCCATGTTTGTAGTGGACCACAGATGAGATTTCCCACTTCTGTCTTACTCTTTTGGGGGAGGCAATATGGGCCTCTTGATATTTTGCTACCTCAGCATTACTTTTCTACAAGGCCTGTTCTTCCTAGTGCAGTTTTCCATTTTTGGTCAACCAGGGTCTGTCTTTTGTTAACTTTAGCAGATTTTTAAAAAACAAATAGCCCTTTGATTATATTTTTTCCCGTTTCAGACTATTTTTTTCTGTTTCCTTTGTTGTCATCTGCCTTTTCAAAAGATCTATTGTTGACTGTCAGGTATGATTGTAATGATAAGACAATATGGGTACTTTGGATACTGTTGTATTAGTCTTCAGTTAGGTCAGAGTTGCCTACTGGTCAGTGACAAGTTTTACATAATTTGCTTTGGTAGGGATGAATGTGTGCCGTAGTCCTGTCCTGCTGTATAACCTGGTCACCACCATTCAAATGTGTTGAATGGTCAGTCCTTTCAAAAACTTTCATGTAGCTTTTGTTCAGACCTGTTGAATTAGACTTGTGTGTAGGCGTGTCCTTCTGCCTGCTGATGGAACCTGCTTTTGACCAGCCTATGTTTAAAAGTAGTTGGGAAATACATTTTTGTACAGGGCAAATGATTCTGGAGAGAAGGGTGGTTTTAATACAGCATGTTCCTGTTCCCAAGTTGACTCTGGTCCAGGTGGATGAAGCAGCAGGACTGTGCCCTGCAATCTGAAGAGCCCTAGGGCTGCCAGGCTTTTTTGCTTCTTGTAGTGACTGCTGCTGATTTAGGGTGTGATCCTGAAAGCTGTGTTCTGCTTTTCTGAGTTCCTGAACACTGCTGATTTAAAGGTAAAGGCATGTATGGCATTGAAAGAAGCAGGGTCAGACATTTCTTCTCACCTATTAGAAGCATATTAGCCCTGAACAAACTGCACTTGCTTTTCACTGTTGTGTTTTAAGGGAAATCAAATGAGTCAGTTTATAGTAACAGGACGCTCTATTTGATTTGGAAATCTGTAACTGCTAATCTTACTCCTTAAGTATCTCCCAATGATTTTATTGTACCGTATCATGAAACTTCTTAAAATCTCCTGTGACTCCAGAAGGCCTTGCTTTATATAGAATGAAATAAAAAAAAATAGAATACTAATTTTCTTATTAAAATGTTCGATAGGTCTTTAGGGTTTTTCTGTGAGGAATGTCAGTCTGGTTTAAAAAAAGAAAGGAAGTTTGAGTATATTAAGCTGTGAGCTACTGGAGTGTGAGTAGTTAATTTTACAGATGAGAATACATACATGGATATGCATAGCTAATACTGTGTCTAAAATCATGGTAGACTTGTGGCTTAGAGCTGACTTGGTGCTGACTTGAATCTCTATTGATATAGAAGTTTAGCACCTGATACTGCTCTGTTATCTTGTCCCCATCAATCTGCATGAATACTTTGGGACCGTACCTGATTTTGTTTGTGCTAATATAACAGTTATTTACCTTCAGTTTAAGTCTTCTAAAGAATTAATCATGGTGCCTTAAAACTAATGGTTTTGTTTGCAAATTCAAAGTTGTAAACGTTTAATTGATGAAATTCTTGAACTAAAACCATGTGACACATCAGTCTATATGATAAACTCCTAAAACTAGGCAAAACCAAAAAAATGTGTGAGCTTTGATTTTACTTTTGGAGATGCAGAGTGGAGATCCACTTCACTGACTGAAGTGGATTTGTGATCCAGCACGTTCATTTAGGATATGGGAGGAAGGAAGGAAGGAGGAGGAAATTAGTTTGATGAATAATTTGTTTCCTAATAAATAATTGTTTACTGTATTTAGACCCAAATGCATGAAGGGGAAATAGTATGAAAGCTTTTGGGCTGCAGAAAAATGTGATTTCCATTTGATAGTTTAGTAGTACCCTGTTGACCCCTTAAGTTAAAGAAACTTGGTGATGTGGGATTTTTTCTGTTTAAACAGTCTGAATCTGTTTTCAATGCATGCACATATTTAAATCATAATAATATACAATATGGTAACTCATAGTCCTAATAATGACTAAAACATGTCATATTTGCTGCCACCAACACTAGTTATGTTGCCAGTAAGTCAACAGAGCTCTGACAGTTTACAGAAGTTACTTGACTATGTCTATTAATGATTTCTTCCTCATCTATGAAAAGCTACATTTTTATTACTCTTCTTGAAAGTGAGTGTACATAATTCAGATCTCAGTAAATCACAGTGTCTGTGATAGATAATGTTAAATTAAGACTAGCCCAAAAAAGTCAGCACATGGGAGGGGGAAGAAGCTAAATTAAATATGTGTGTTTGTGTAAATGTGCCTTTCACATATGAATTTCGCACTGCCATAAATGAGTTCCTGCAGCCAAGACAATGCAAGTCTTGCAATCATGTCCCGGACCTTTACTAGAGCTCCAGAAAACCTGTCCCATGCACATACTGTTCTCTGCTGACTGAACACTGGAGGGCAGCCTCTCTCCTCCTCACACTCTGCTGCAGAGGGTGGGCTTGGGTCATTTCTTAGACTGTCCTTGTTTTGTTTTTTTTCTCCCCAAGAATAGTAATCTGTGTGGATCTTCTGTCTTCGGCTGCTGAAGAGGGCATAAGTGTACTGCTAAGAAGGACTGATGGGCATGATTTTTCTAACTTGTAAACAAAAAAATCAAAGGATTTATCATATTTCAGTCTTAAAAACCTTATCTGTGTGTTGTTTATGCATACACAAAATAATTAACAAATAAGCAAGAGAACTTTAATCTAAATAAAGCCAGGCAAGTTAGAGCTTATATTCTGTGTGTATGCAGTCATGTCTTGATGAGTACTGAGGCACTGGATTGGACCCACTTCATGCATACAACATAGTTTTTAGTTGGTGGGGTTTTGGGAGTTTTCTGCGGGAGTTTTGTTTGTTTATTTTTTATTTTCTTGAAATATTTGATGCAGATACTTCTGGGAACTCAATTCCACTGCAAAAGGGTGCTTTAAGTCTAAGGCATATTCGTGTGGGTATATCATGGCCATTTAATGGTTAGCTATTAAAACCTAAGCTATTGTTTCATTTTCTTTGTTGTGTCAGTAAAGTAAGTTTTTAATGTAAAAGAAGTGAAGTGCGTGTTCCAACTCGTGACTCTCCAAGTAACTTTAGTTGATAGAAGCCAAATTTACTTGATTTCTGTCTATTGACTTAAGGCACTTTCTTTAACTGTGCTATGTGTATCTCCTTAATGCATTTGACTTAAAGGCAGGAATCTTGAAGCTGTAAGGTTTTATCCAGTTTTCCTGAAAACAGGCAGACAGGTGGAGGGGATACATGCTGTTTACTTTTCCAGTGAGAAGGTGGCTGCTTGACTCTCCTCTTATGGGCGTTCTCTGATGACAGAGAATGATGAGCAGAGACAGTGCAAGAAACCATTAGTTTACAGTCTGTAGAAGGCTAATGTGCATAATCAGCATAAATGCTGATTTTAATTGTTACCAAAAAAAGCACTTATTCCTTTCCTGTCATTCGTATAGTAATTTACGTCAGCAGATGGTCAGCAGAAGTGAAAACGTGTCACTGCTCCCTCTTTAATGTCTAGTGTGCAACTGCAGGCCTGTCAGTCTCACTTCAGTGCCTGGTAAAGTTATGGAGAAGATTATCCTGAGAGGTGTTGAAAAACAACTAAAGACAACACTGTCATCTGTCACAGCCTGCACGACTTCGTAAGAGAAATCTCCTGTTTATCAAACCTGGTTTCCTATGACAGGATAACCCACCTAGTTGATCAAGGGAAGACAGTTGATGTAATCTTTTTGGATTTCAGTAAAGCTTTCAATACAGTCTCTCACAGGATCCTTCTGGACAAAATGTCCAGCACAGCTGGATAAACACATCATGTGGTGGGTGAGCACTTGGCTCATGGATCAAGCACAGAGGGTAATAGTGAATGAGGGTAACATCACACTGGTGACCTGTCACTAGTGGGGTTCCACAGGGCTCCATCTCTGACCCTGTGCTCTTCAACATCTTCATAAATTACTTGGATGCAGATCAAAACTGGGAGGAGCTGTTGACTCCCTCAAAGGCAGGGAGGCCCAGCAGAGAGACCTTGACAAATTAGAGGACTGGACAATCACCAACCATGTGTATGAAGTTCAGCAAGGGAAAGTGTTGGATTCTACACCTGGGATGGGGGAACCCTGCATGTATGTACAGACTGGAGAAATGAGATGCTGGAAAGCAGTGCCATCGAAAGGGACCTGGATGTCCTGGTCGATGGGAAGTTGAACATGAGTCAGCAGTGCCCTGGCAGCCAGGAGGGTCAACCGTGTCCTGGGAGGCATCAGGGAAAGCATCACCAGCCGGTCAAGGGAGGGGATTGTCCTGCTCTGGTCTGCACAGGTGTGGCCTCACCTTGAGGTCTGTGTGCAGTTTTGGTCACTGCAATATAAGAAGGATATTAAGCTATTAGAGAGCATCCAGGGGAGGGTAATGCAGATCCTTGTGAGTCCCTTCCAACTCGGCATATTCTGTGATCCCAGTGGGGAATTCATGCAATGTGTCAAAATGAACTGTATTGCCAAAACAATATTGATAATAATGCGTAGCTCTATTTAATATAATTTATCCCCAGACATTGCTCTCTCTTACTATTATTTAGTGCCAGTGGGTGATTAGTACATTGTTTTGTTTTGTTTTGAAATGCAGGAGAGAATAAACTAATGCTGATCAGTAGAGTAATCATTTTGAGGAGGTGATAAAAACTGACATTTTGCCCTAAACCAAGAGTATACAATGATTGAGACTGCATAATCTTCTGACCTGGAATGACCAAAAGGGTAAGTCAATAGCTGTAGTCTCTTAAGGGCTGGATCCAGATTTCTTAATTTGGGACTAGAACAAAATCCAGCATGCGAGTCCCAATCAGCAATGTGGAATGCTTTTTTTTCCTCTGTACCACCATGTGTTCCAGACAGCTGCAAACACAG